TCCACAATATATAAGCAGAAACCTTCCCACGAACAGCATCAGTCGACTGAGCGACTGGTAACCGATGCATAGTTAGAGAGTCATTATCAACATATATGTTCGGAGAACAATCTTTAGTACTCCAGCCATGACGAATGATGGTCTCTTGGTCCGGCAGCGGAAGATACCAGAAGTAGCTAAGTCTCTCTGGCCTCCAAAACCCATCAAATGGTCCACCCTGAACATAATGATACTATAAGACGGCGAATTGTGAGAAACGCACACTGAACAACGGGGGAAGCATTAAAGATTGTGACCAACAGCTCTAGTCAGATAAGCTGCTTATCCATTAGTAATAGAATGGTGAACCTCTAGCAGTTATCCAATAACAAACAAGACACCTGGATAAAACTGAATAAGCAAAAAACTATAACAGAATCACAATAATAACTACCATACCGCAGGATTGGATGATGGTTCTGACGTGCGGGGCCTTGGAACGCGGTTGCAGTGATTGAGCAAAAACGAAAGATAGCGACGACCAATCCTACCTGGTAAATAATATTTTAAAGACCGTTTAGAATGTCGACACTTGCCAGTTTCATCGGGAGTACTTCGGTCAGCAGTACGCTCAAAACTCTCTTGTCGACGACTCATTTTGCCTTCAGCACTACAACAGATAAACAGGTTGAATATACACTTTATAAGCAGAATATTTCCTTCCTGGGAAACTGCTACGTAGTAATGGAGGCCTTAACCAGAGGTACCTAACAGAATTTATTTACTGTGACCACAGCACCAGTGGTGGTTCTAAAGTGAGGTGTGAAGACTGGTCAGCTCCTGTCGTTATTACTAAAACATTCCCGCCGAACAATTGAGAGGGTGATCGCCGATTACACCTGATTTCGCAAGCTCATTAGCAGACAGTAGTCTAAGAATTTTTTAAAGAAAATATACTATGGTACAAGCCTTCAAATTGCATCAAATTAAAGAAGAGCACCATTAAAACATTTGGGTCTTTAATTGTAGAACTTTAAAAGGAACGAAGGAACAGTATATGCAAGCAGCTCCTTTAATTATACTGCGAGTCCATTTCAGTCTGATAATCAAAATAATATTGGTATAAAGCACTGTTAAACGCAACAATTATTTTAGTAAGAATCCTAGGTATTCAAGTTATCGGATCAAATGATTTGCCAAGATATGTCTTTAAAACGGTCGCACAAGTAAGCTAATTTAGATATCAATCCTTCCATACATCAATTTGAATTTTTACAAAAGTTCTAAAATCTCGCAGTGCTTGGTTTCTGAGATTCTGACTAAGACAACTATTGGTACTGTTCTAAAATTATTTCTGAATCCACAGAACAAGTTTGTGTATTAAGGAAAATAATGCACTATTGAAATTGTGGCAAATAATAACAAAGCCAATTACAGCACATATTTGTAACCAGTCCAACGCTACATTAGGTGATACATATGTGGTTGGAAATACGTGGGTTAATGGTGAGACACAACTGGCAAGAATCTCCCCAGCGTCGCTCCAAACAGTGGGAAAATGAACCCGTTTCAAAACAGACGATAGCCTAACAGCGACCAAAGTCGTATTCTTGCTGTTAAACCGGTCATCTTTGCAGTCCGCGACCCTAGTTTGACTGCATTATCATTTTTTAGGATGGAATATCCTGCAAATTAACAAACGGTTTTCGACTAACTATTAATATCCCTGAGAAACATGAAAGCAATTGAACTTCAAGCCTATATCATGCTGACAAGAATGAAGTAAACATGCTTCATTTTGAGATCTACGAGAAAAAGAACGTTTATTGATTAGAAAAGTTTAGAATCTTCAATGTCAGACCTTTACACTGATTAATACACAAACACAAATAAAGCCTAAAAAACAAAGAAAATTTGAAGTTTTGAAAGAAAGCACTTTGAATAATGGAGAAATCCACATGACAGCCAAGTACCCCTATAGGCGGAACCTAATATTAAAAATATATTTAATGTTTATTGCACTTTGTAGAAATTGAGACAGATATGTACAGACATAATTTGTAAAGTACGCTCTAACAATAACTCGGTCAAACGGCACCAATCTTAAGAACCGCACGAAGATTTTCATTTCCCAAATTGCGGTACCGTTGAACCGATAGCCGTTCTTCCCATTATAAGACGCGTAATTGGTGAGTTTTGCTGAAAAAAATTTTTTCAAAGCTGTTCATCTGAAGATTCTCTAAACAGAGTTTGAATTCAAAAAAATCTTAACAATGAACTTCTGAAATACAGACTTATCATAATGTATTTATGCGAATTTTCTGCAAACAAGTTAAAGAGACAAGCTCTCTTTCAAAGTAATTTTTAATTTGTTAATAGATAAAGATGAAACTTTCATGCAACACAAGATACGTGACAGAACGTTTAAAAAAATAAACAGTCTTAACCCTAATCTTGCATTCGCAGTGAGATCCAATCTGAATATTTACTGGTGTAGGGGCTCCCGTATCAATTCTCAAAACCTGCACTGTTCTTTGCACATTTACGCAAGCTGCATAGCCTAGAAGAAACTAAGCCAAACAAATTAAAACACTTCTTCGACTAGAAATACTATACAGTTAACTGTATAGTATTTCTGCGTTGTTAAGTGATGCACTGAGAACTAAAAAATAAGATATTAAAGCATAAAGACACATGGCCATAATTGGTCAACAAATCTATCACGAAAAGTTAAAGTACAATTTAGAGAAAATTCTAATTTTTATTGTTAGAGCTTATTAAAATGTAAAGTGAATCAAATAGAAAAAAATTTAGAAATTAAGAGGTCACAACCTGACAAACAGGTGCCATCCAAAGTGTCACATATCAGTTCGTTTATAAATGTTGGAAAATAATACCGAGGAAGACTGCGCCATGTCCAACAGCACGAACATAATGATAACATACCACTTGGATCCGGAGTAATACCTTTAGTTGTGCAAGAAATTACATAACGATTGCCTGAATAAATGCTGAGATTAAAGATCAGCCAGTCAAGAGCAATAACAGGAACCCAAGAAAAACCCTAAGTTTTAATTATACAAAAAAGAAGCTGGAGATAAACCGTTACCCAGAAGAGGCACAAGCTGTCTTGGAAATCTCTGCAAATCTCCTCTCTTCTGGTTTTTTTCATACGCTTCCACAACTATATCGTTGTTTCCATGCCGAATGCCGTGCAGAACAGCATTGGGCTGAGAGAAACGATACCGAGTACATATGACGGTTGTATTACTTAAATTACGCGAATTGAAAAGCTTAGGACGTAAACCCAACTGAAATGTATTTTAAAAGCATTAATGTACCAGAACTATATCCAGCGAACGAGAACGGCGGTTTACACTGAGAAACTAATGCAAAACATTGCCTGATACAAATGACTT